TATTGCTGGGATTTCAACTTCTGCCTAATACGTGTGGCTTGATTGCACTAACTTGAAACCATTTAAGAAAGAAGGAAAGAAATCTCTGCATCTCTGAGTTGCCTTTATATCCCATTTGCTTATGATGCATTTTATCTCTGAGAATTGTGACACACTTTGGTCTCTTCTTCTCTGGGGTGATGCAGGGCCGGCCCACCCATGAGGCAAGGTGAGGTGACCGCCTCGGGCGGCAGGATCCACAGGAGGTCGTTCCTGATGTAGATCTTCACTCCTTGCTTCTTCCCTGGCGGTAAGGAAGGTGTCATTTTGTGTTTTGCCTCAGGTGCCAAAATGTCTTGGGCTGGCCATGTGGTGATGGAACAGGTTGTAAGGGTGGGCTTATTTGCAAATTCACCAATGAAGTCGGCATTGGGGGTTGCATCCAACTAAGGCCACATTTACACTATACGTTTAAAGTGCTGTGATAACCCCTTTAAATAATTCTGGGAGCTGTAGTTTGTTAAGGATGCTGAGAGGAGGTTGTCCCTTTTCTCTCCCACAGAACTACAGTTCCCAGAGTTCCCTGCTCAGAATGATTGCTTGTTAAACCATTTTGGGAATGGTAGCTTTTTGAGGGGGGCCTCCTGCCTGTGGCAATATTCCGAAGGGTGTGTTGTGAAGGACATGAAGGCATATTCCTGCATTGCAGGGGGTTGGACTCCAGCAGGCCCTCAAATGTCCCTATTTTCCAGGGAGAGTCCCGGACTTACAGAAGATGTTCCAGTTTCTGATTTGATCCCAGAATGTCCCTATTTTCCTTAGGACCCTCCCTACAGTGGTACCTCAGGTTACAGATGCTTCAGGTTACAGACTCTGCTAACCCAGAAATAGTACCTCGGGTTAAGAACTTTGCTTCAGGATGAGAACCAAAATCATGTGGCGGTAGCGGGAGGCCCCATTAGCTAAAGTGGTACCTCAGGTTAAGAACAGTTTCAGGTTAAGAACGGACCTCCAGAACGAATTAAGTTCTTAACCTGAGGTACCACTGTATTTTCATCAGAGAAATGTTGGAGGGCATGGAGTTATGCAACCCTTGAGCCAAGAAGATAACTACACAACCTTGTTGAGAAGGTATCTGAAGGCAGCCCTGTATATGGAAGTTTTTAAAATGTTTTATTATGTTTTTATATATGTTGGAAGCCATCCAGAGTGGCTGGGTCAACCCAGTCAAATGGGCGGAGCACAAATATTAAAATTAATATGATTGTTATTATGGAATAAAGGTAAAGGTAAAGGGACCCCTGACCATTAGGTCCAGTCGTGGCCGACTCTGGGGTTGCCGTGCTCATCTCCCTTTATTGGCCGTGGGAGCCAGTGTACAGCTTCCGGGTCATGTGGCCAGCATGACTAAGCTGCTTTTGGCAAACCAGAGCAGCGCATGGAAACGCCGTTTACTTTCCCGTCGGAGTGGTATCTATTTATCTACTTGCAGTTTGACGTGCTTTCGAACTGCTAGGTGGGCAGGAGCTGGGACCGAGGAACAGGAGCTCACCCCATCGCGGGGATTTGAACTGCCGACCTTCTGATCGGCAAGCCCAAGAGGCTCTGTGGTTTAACCCACAGTGCCACCCGCGTTCCTATTATGGAATAGGACCTCCCTATTTTCATCGGAGAAATGTTGGAGGGTATGCTAGATATCCAGCTCTACAATTTGGTGATTCTGAGGCTGTACAGCCAATCGCAGAGCTCTGCTACAGCAATTCAAGAAAGGTAGCAAACCATCACTATTCCTTATAACCGTGCCCCCCTCACAAAGTGCTATAATTTCTCCTGCCACCTGATAAAAAACTATCTCTAAATAGTGATTTTTTTTGTGGGGGGAGGTGGGTAAGGGGGGGCAGGTCAGGTCTAAATCTCTTGACTTCCTCCTCTCGCCACCAGTGTGATATGCAGAGTGCAGCTGAAATAGCTACATGCGCCAGTACCTTTAAACTTGCCTGCATGAAAAATATTGGGGGTGTGTGTGTGTGGGGGGGGGAACCATGCGCTCAGCTTCCTCCTCCACCCCCGCCAGCATCCCGGCCTGTCACAGCAGCACTCAGTCAAGCATAACTTTCTCAATTGTACGTGTTTCTTTTTCAGAAGGTACCAGGGAGCGTTGATTGAAGAGCGCGGGCTGAACAGGCCGGATAGAAAGGGGGAGAAAGTGTGAATTAATTTAGGCAATCGAATGCATAACACCTCCAACCCTTCAGCTACAGGAACAATAGCACGGCAGAGATGTGCGGCCTGCCAGGGAATGAGAAAGGAAAAAGCATGATTGGAGGCTGGTGACTAGGCAAGGAGATATATGTGCGGAGCTGGAGGGTGGCAGTAGTGGAGGAGAGGGAGAGATATTTGATGAGGCGAGGGGATTGTGGGAACCTGGGGTGCCAACAATTTCATATCTCACCCTGCTTCTCAGCGGCCTTACATTGCTACTTGTATGGGTTGAGGGGGTCAGTCTGGATGATACCTGTGGATCCCTTCCAAACCTGCAATCCTGCATATGTGGCATTAGAGGTATGTGGGGAAGCTTGCTCAACCGGTCAAGCCACTTGTTTTGTTAAGGTAATAGCGTTGGCTGGCCAGTTAAGTACCACCATTTACATTCCCAAAGAGGTTGCCACAGAGACAAATGGGTGGACCTTTCCTCATAACACCTGGCTGGATGCCACATCATCCTAGGATGGATAAAAATCGGCCAAGCGGGTGGGGCTGTGTGTGTGTGTGTGTGTGTGTGAGTGTGTGTGCGTGTGTGAGAGAGAGAGAGAATGAACTTCAGCTGATGCTGGAAGCTGGAGACACAGAGGCATGACTTGCTCTGTGTTGGACCCCAAGTTATGGCTTGGGAGTCTCCCTGGGAACCTAAAAAAAGGTAAAGGACCCCTGACAGTTAAGTCCAGTCACAGACGACTCTGGGGTTGCAGTGCTTATCTCTCTTTACTGGCCAAGGGAGCTGGCGTTTGTCCTCAGACAGTTTTTCCGGGTCATGTGGCCAGCATGATTAAGCCGCTTCTGGCGAACCAGAGCAGCACATGGAAACGCCGATTACCTTCCTGCCGGAGCGGGACCTATTTATCTACTTGCACTTTTTGGCATGCTTTCGAACTGCTAGGTTGGCAGGAGCAGGGACCGAGCAACGGGAGCTCAGCCCATTATGGTGATTCGAACCGCCGACCTTCTGATCGGCAAGCCCAAGAGGCTCAGTGGTTTAGAATGGAGTGTTAATGCTGCGAAGTCCCTCCATCCTATGCTCAGGTTGTGTTTGTGTGTGTGCTTATGTGTAAATTCCCCTCACAGAGCTATAGTTCCCAGAATTCCCTAGGAAGATGGATTGATTGTTAAACCACTCTGGGAAGTGTAGCTGTGAGAGGGGAATAGGGGTCTTCTAACAACTCCCAGCACCCTTACAGTGTCCAGGATACTTTTCTTTTTTAATTTATTGAATTTTTATACCATCCTATACCTGGAGGATTCTTTGGGGGAAGCCCTGACTATTTTTTTATCTTGTGTTTTATGTTGTGTACCGCTCTGAGATCTACAGATGAAGGGGAGCATACAAATACTACTACTACTACTACTAATAATAATGCAGTACCACAGTGCTTTAAATGTATGGTGTGAATGTGACCTTTGGGGATGTGAAACAGGCACCACCACCAGTAACAGGCAAGCTTTGTTGCCCATGAAATGCTGACCCAAAGGAAGCAGGCAAAGGCTTCTGGGGGAGCGGCCTGGGAGTGTGTGGTTCCTTCTGCCGCCATCGCAGGACCGGCTGCCTGTGGCAGCTGCCTCAGTCTGCCCAGTGGCAGAGCCAGCCCTGATCCATCTGCATAGACCTAGTACTTCTGTCAGCACCTGAGATAAAAAAGATTAAACAAAAATAAAGGAGGGTCTTCAGTCCAGGCTTGGCATCAGGGGCAGCCTGGGCTCCTAGTATTTGCTCAGTGATGCTCTACGCCAGCACCGGCCCTCTTCACACGCAGCAAGCAAGGAGCCAGCTGAGAAGGAAGCTCACTCATTGCTTAAGTGAAGCCTAGCTGGTTCTCTGGATTTATGGCCTTTGATTTCTTTACAACAGCGGGCCCATCCCAATGCAACAACTACCCATTTTCTCTCAGCGGCGACCGGAATGGTACATTAGACAACGCCATTTCATCACGCATCCTAGACAAGCTTAACACCGCATTGGGAAGCTTTTTGCTCTCTCCTTGAGTTTAATGCTTATCATTTTCTTACGTTCTGGAAGCCAACATTATGGGCAAAAGGGGACTCGCTAGCCATTATTTGTCAAGCTTAATTGTGCCTCTGAAATCAGCCTTCAGCCTTTGAGATGCAGAGTGCAGGTCTTTAATTCCACCAAAGGGTATCTGTGTACCTTTTCTTTCTCCATCTCTTGCTCTGGAGCAGCCAGCCTCTTCAATATTTAGTATCTTCCTTATGGTTTTCTGAGTCCCTAGACACGGCGAAATGCTGGAAATGGAGGCTTCGTAGCTTCATTTTATTTCTGCGCTCATTTGAAGAGCATGAAGGATTCTTAGTGCTTACTACAGCCAGTAGCTCTTCCAATGGCCAATTATGCTTTATTTTCTATTATGTTGAACTGAGCAACTTTATTACAGTCCATAATTTTCTGGGTTTTTTGTTTTTTTAATAACAAAAACAAACTTTTACAGTGGACGCTCGGGTTGCGAACATGATCCGTGCGGGATGCATGTTTGCAACCTGCAGCGTTCGCAACTCACAGCTGCGCGTCTGTGCACGTGTCGGTTGCGATTCGCGATTTGGCGCATGCGCAAAGCGCGATTTAGCGCTTCTACACATGCGCGACCGCCGAAACCCAGAAGTAACCCGTTCCGGTACTTCCGGGTTCTGGCGGTCCGTAACCCGAAAAAACTCAACCTGAAACATCTGTAACCCAAGGTATGACTGTACTTCTACGTATGACTGCTGGTATGACTGCTGCCTATGGAACATCAGGATAGCTCAGTTGGTTAGAGCATGGTGCTTATAATGCCACGGTTGTGAGTTTGATCCCCGTATGGGACGGTTGTGTATTCCCACATTGCAGTGGGTTGGACTAGATGATCCTCAGGGTCCCTTCCAACTCTAGAATTCTATGAGACGCAACATGGGCCCAAGTTGTGGAGGTGCTTTTTCCAGCATTTCCCCTTCTGAATCCTTGACCATGTCACCTGAAGAAGAGGAATCTGACCTCAGCTTCATGACACTCTTTTGCAGAGGACAGAAGTAGGCCAGGCAAGTTTCTCTATGCCTGCTTCTTACTGATGCCTTTGGGGCCTTAACAGATCACGCCGCATTCAAGGCAATTCTATTCTGGACACAAGTGTCGGGTGTGTTAGTGAACGAGAGCTGATGAGCGGCAGGGAGCTCATTTGTGCCTTTGCTCCAAGCCGCACGCCAACTTCAAAGTAGAGGGAGGCCATTCTCTTTGCGCCTATAAATATAATTTCCAGGGATGAAGATGGGTAATTTTCACATGTAAATCTGGCTGGTGAGTCTGCATTAGTTGAGCTGCCGTGCTTGCTGTTTAAAGGGGCAGAGCTGTTCAACGCTGCTTAAAAGAGATGAAGCTAGGAGACAGGCGAGTGGGTGGGGGCAGGAGAGCAAGCAAGAGACTTCTGCAGCGGTGTCACAAAAGCTATTTGTTCTGGTTCCCTTTGCCGATATTCCCCACTGCTTATATTTCAGAGCCAGTGTGGTGTAATGGTTAGGGTATTGGACTCTCGGAGACCAGGGTTCAAATCCTTACTCAGCTGTGAAGCTCTCTGTGTGGTGTTGTGGTTAAGAGCAGTGGACTCATAATCTGGTGAATCGGGTTCGCTTCCTGCTCCTCCACATGCAGCTGCTGGGTGACCTTGGGCTGGTTACACTTCTCTGAAGTCTCTCAGCCCCACTCACCTCACAGAGTGTTTGTTGTGGGGGAGGAAGGGAAAGGAGATTGTTAGCCGCTTTGAGGCTCTTTAGGGTAGTGATAAAGTGGGATATCAAATCCAAACTCCTCCTCCTCCTCCTCCTCCTCTCCTCCTCCTCCTCCTCTTCGTCTTCTTCTTCTTCTTCTTCTTCTGGGTGAACTTGGGCCAGTCACTGCCTCTTGGACTAACCTACCTCGCAAGGTTGTTGTGGTGATTAAATGAGGAGGCGGAGAACCATGTAATGCCACCTCGAGCTCTTCAAAGAAAAAGATGAGATATAAATGCAGTAAACAACATGGAATAAATAACTAGGGATTCTTCTGTCTGTGACCAGGTGAGAGGAGAATACTTCACACTGATGAACCTTGCAGAGTTAGCACACAGCTTGGAAGTTGACTGTTTACTGAATGCCTGCTGCTGAGCACTCTTTAGCTTTTTTTAGGAAGGCCACAAAGCTCTATTAAACCAGGACATCTTGAAAGTTGTTCTTTGGGAACCACCTAAATTGTTGAGCTTTTTTAATGAGAATGCAAAGACAAACCACCGCATTCCACTTTTGAAATCCTGGATATACGGCAGCCCTATCTAAGCACCTTCAGGCAACACAGAGACACTCATCTTTCATCAACTTGGTGCCCTCTAGATTTTTGAACTACAACTCCCATGTGCCCTAGCCTCAGGTATTCATTCATTCATTAATTCATTCTTTCAAACTGATGTGGAGAACTGAATTTAAGACTGGGGGTTGGGAGGAAAAACCTAAATTGACAGATTTGACCATTCTTACCTGGGGATGCTGGGGATTCGATCTTGGACTTCTTATGATCTGTCAGTGACCTTCAAATGCCACTGATCTTTTTTCTGGTGCCATCATTGTTAAGGGGAGAGGATCCCCCTCACTTCTCCTCTTGTACATTGAGTGCTTGTTCCTATGTCACCTGAGAATAGTGGGGTTCCTTTAGTTTGGGGTGTTGGTGAGCCTGTGGCCCTCTGGATTCCGTTTGATTCAAACTCCCATCAGCCCCAGCTACAAGCAGTCAGGGAGGATGAGTGCTGCAGTTCAACAGCATCTGTAGGGCCACAGCTTCCCCATCTCTGGACTAAAGCCTTCTGGTTGCTGGGAGCACCATCCAGAAAGAAGGAGCCCTGCTGTGTCTCTGCTTGAGGAACTGTTCTGGTGTTTATTAAGCCTGATTAAAACAGGGCAGTGAAATCTGTGGTCATTTAGATACTGCTGAACTCCCAGCACTCATCAGCACCAGCTAGAATGGCCAATGGCCAGGGATGAGGGGAGCTGGAGTCCAACAAGCTCCACAGCCCTGATTTAATTCCTAGGTGGAGCTAGCCTAACAAGTATCCATTTAACGGTGCTGACCCCAAACAACTGCTTAATCTCCTGATATGGTTAGCCAAGACTTGTTCATGGTGTAACGTAGGGTCTAAATATACTCCCTTGCCAAAAAGCCTTGTATTTGTATGGAAAGTAGGCACTGACAGCTTCTCAAGATGCATGCTGCAACTTTTTCTTTTTTTAAAATAACTATTTGGTTGGTTGTAGATTGGTTTGGAGTGGCCAGAGTTTTTCTTGTGGAGACCAGAGTTTTAAATTAAACAGCAGACACCTCTTACCATCTGCAATGAAAACCTAATTGACTCCCTGAGGAATCTCCCCCTCCCAAGAATACTACCAACTTGTGATTAATTCAGCAGTGCTATCTAAAAACAAACATCATAATTAAAAAAAAGTTGACAGCTGATAATTCACATTCCTGAAAAATACAGAAGTTACGATTCAGGTGGGGGCGTATTTCCCCCTCTAAACAGACCCCAAATGGGAATATGCCAACAACAATACCCACATCTCTGCGCTGCCTGGAGTTGCTAAGGCGAGTCTGAGTTGCAGATGAATGTGATTACTGTAAAATTAATTCAGTCTTCCTGCAGGATTGAGAGGCAGGACACAAGTCAATTTAAACAAGATGTTGTCAATAACAGGTGCCTGAAATCCAGGTGGACTCTTATCATGAAAGGCATCTCTTTCAGACCATGTGGAGGTTTGCATTTGAGCAAAGGGTCTTCCCTACATCCCGTGTTCATAGATTTCTCCTCCCCCATCTCAAATGATGACTGATGGCTCATAATGGGTCAGATTCAAATATGCAGTGGGCTATACATGTCAACCACCAGACGGTGGAAGATGTCAAGAACATATTGGGGGGTCAAATCAAATTGCCCACTGCAAGCTTTCCAGTTTGTGGGTATTCAGATGAATCTTTGGGGATTGCTTTCCGGAGATTTTTTAAAAGGCTCTGTAAATATTCAACGGGAAGGAATCCCCAAGGGTGAGTGCCACATCACTAATAGCATTTTATCAGGAGGTCTGCTCTGCATGATATTTGCAGGAGGCTCTCACCTGCAGAATCCAGTGAATGACTGTGTATATAAGGGGTGAGATGATCTTTTAGGTAGAATTAAATGTACCTGGCCCCACCTGTCATTGGCTCTGGCTACAACTACTGCCTGGGCCTTCTGCCTTCCACCCTACTGATCTGAATGGGCACTAGCCACTACTGTGAACAGCTGGAAACAATTCAGGGGCAAGGGATTCTTGATGGAGCTGGTCTTTCTGCAGACCTGAAATAAGATCTGTTTCTCATCTCTCTCCCACTGATAGAGTCTGCTGGAATGGCTGGCTGCAGCTAGGTGACAGCTGAACCTTAGCAGGTAGCAAAATGCAGTTGTCCAGACACCTCTGTCTGGTCTCCAGGATGCTCCCAGGACCATGAGTCTTACCAGCCTTGCTCCACACACTCAAGGGCTTTTCCCTGGTTGGAATGTTTCCTTGAACTGTGATGCTGCTTCTTCCTTGACGGAATTCAATTCCCACCTCCCCAATTCCTAATCCCAAGTCAGGGCCAAAACCAGGCTTCAAGGGCCTTTGACGTGGTACCTCCAATGCCATTTCTTGTGCCCAGCAGCACTGTCCCACAGGCTGTCTGGGGGCCCAGCAGGGAGGGCCGTGAGCAGTGGCCAGTGGCAGCATGGTCAAGCCAGGCCACAAGGGTGTGAGTTGCTGGGTCCCCCTGACAGTGCCCAACTTGGCCACCTGCTGACACTACATCCATAGTAAACAATTCAGTGCATCTCTTTGGGTAGCGAGAGAGAGAGTCATGCCCTTTCCTCGCGAACCAGAGGAATAGCCGAGCTCCTTTGTGTTGATAGGGATGGAAGCATTTCAATTAACATTGCAGTTTGGGCACCCAGCCATGAGACGTCAGCATTTAGTGACCGCGCAGGCTCATCCATAAGCCAATTTCCTACCAAAGTGAAATGCTGCAGCTTGATGCACTGACCTCATATCCATCACAGGGGGAAAAGGGCTTTGCTCTCTGAGCAATAGGCTGGATATTCATTGAAAGGAGGACTGATATTTCTTAGCTCAGGGATGGGGAAGATCTGACCTTCCAGATGTTGCTGAACACCAGCACCCATTATCCCTGCCCATTGGCTGATCAAAGCTTCCCCATCCTTGCTTTGCATAAACTATTTTTTTTTTTTGCAAACTTAGCATAAAAGCTTAGCATAAACATAAATTATTTTTGCAAACTTTACAATAACCCTAGAAGGTACGCCAACATGAGCCCCACATTGCAGATTTGGAGGGGAGTCTGAAAAGAAGTGGTAACCTTTCCCAACCTGATGCCTTCCAGATATTGTTTGACTACAACTCCCATCAGCCCCATCCATCTATCCATCCCCTGGATATTGCTGGAGTATAACCTCTAACAACCCCAGCCAGCCATGGGGACCAGACTATCTGATGGATTGCCTACACCAGAGGTGGGAAACCTGTGGCACCTCCAGGTGGACTCCAGCTCCCATCAGCCCCAGCCAGCACAGCCAATGGTCAGGGATGATGGGATTTGTAGTTCCAAATTCGCCAAATTATCAGAACTTCAACTCTCCCCTTGCAAGCATTGCTGACCATCCCTCCTTCAAGCTTGCAGTCTGTTACGCCCCAAAAGTGTTTCCTTGGGGCTTTCCAAATCACATTTGTAGTCTCACAGGACAAACTAATGTGTCAAGCTTTTTTCTAGGCAAGTTCCCTGTTTGTGCATGCTGATCATGCATGTTAATGAGAATTCCAAGCACAAACCAGTGGTGTGTCATGAGATCATTTCCATCACTAGTCAGTGTCTCATGGCTATCTTAAAGAGACAAGGCTATCTTAAAGTTGTGGTTTTCTGGAAGCTTCTAGGCAGTGATAGGGCACATCCTTGACTGGAACCATTGTGTGGGAGAAACTAACAAAGGGAAATCACAAGACAAATGAGATAAATCTCAGGCAGATATGAAAGCATTATCTGCTTTTGCAAATGAGTATCATCAGGAACCCAACACATTTAAGTAAGATCTCTGTCAGGAGTCTAAGAAAATGGCACCACCAGTGTTGAGAAATGGTTGAGATGTGAGATGGCAAAATTTGACATGGGGTGTATTCAACTGACTTTTACTCAGAGTTAGACCCATTGAAATTCATGGTCCAAATCTTAGGTCTATTCATTCCAATGGGTCTACTCTGAATAAAGGTTAATTGAAAACTACCACATGCCTAGACCCCTCCAGAAACCCTTTTTAAATTGTGCATTTATAATCATTTGTGCTCTTGATTGTATCAGGGTGGTTATGTGCAGCCCTCTTTTTTATGTTGTTGTTTCCTGCAGAAGTTTCGGAGTGGGCTTATTGCTTCATTTCCTGTTGGTGAATATCCTGTACCCTCCTGTTGAACTCCTGTAACTTATTAGGCTACGAATGTTACTTGCATTATGGCTCCCTAAGCCCTTGCACTAGTGGACAGAGAATGCTGACATATGTATTGTTACGCAGAACCCCATTCTCTGAGCAATGAGAGACTCCAGACGCTACAAGCACTTCCCCTAGGGTTTGGGTTCCTTGGACCGAAGGTTAATGGAGACTGTGGGGTCTTTAAGGATATACCGTTTTATTACACATTTATGCTCCCCTCACAGAGCTACGAAGCCTGAGTCTTCCCTCTGGGAATTGTGGGGGGAAGAGGGCCCTCCTAACAACTCTCAGCAACCTTGACAAACTACACCTCCCAGAATTCTCTGGGGGAAGCCATAGCTGTTTAAAGTGATATCGTGGTGTTTTTAATGTATGGTGTGAATGTGGCTTGCTGTTTCAGCTTTAGCTCTGACCCTCTCCTGAAGTCCACTGCCCACAATTGCTTGTTTATAATTTACCCAGAAATCCCTGGTGCCCATTGCCATGCCGATGCCTCTTCTTTATGCAAAAGGTGGGCACAGATGTGGTTATGGGGCTGGAGCTGCATGCCACTAGGGAGAAACAGTCAAGCATGCCTAAGACACTTCAGCCAACGCTTCCTTCCTTTGCTACCCCTTCTCTTCCACCACCCACTAAGTATAGTTATCACTTAAATAGTTTGAGCCCTTTTATAGCAGGGACGGAACAAGAAAGCTGACCTGCCTCTAATCTTGTTCCTGTTCTCCAGTAGCCTCCTCTGACTGGCATTAATTTTCTATTTCCATCTTATCCACCGAGCCTCAGCCAAGAAGGGGCAGCCGGGGGTGTTTTGCTGTGGGGTTTTGTGGCTTCCAAACTGAGCCAGACAAGGTCAAAGGGCAGAAGGATGAAGAGAAGATTAATTGATTGCCCCACAATGGCCTGGCCTGTCTGAAGCAGCCAGAGGCTGTTGGGAGCAAGTCAGCCTGTTGAGGCCAGGGGACATGTGCCCTGGTTGTGGGGGCTGCGCTGCCCCTTGCCCCCTCATGGCAACTGCTTCGGGGGTGAGTGGGTGGGTGAGGAAAAAGGAATCTCCGTTGCATTCATCATGAACAAAACCTGCCATGCCACTACAAACCGTTTTTCAGTGGAGCTTCAACCAAGTCCTGTAAGATGGGGCCAGCAAATGAATTTAGATGACCGTTTGCCGGAGGAGGGGAGAAGCCACCATGGGCACAATGAAATAGTCTTCCCACAACCGAACTGTTGCATGCAGTGCCTCAAAACAAGGACAGTCTTTCTCTGTTGAGCTCCACACCCTGTTTTGCACAGCAGAGGTACGCTCAAACAAACCACTTGATTGTGGCAAATCCAAGTGCTTTACAAGAAATGTAAATGATATTTCAATAAATTTGAAATATCAAATTTATTAATAAAAAACAGTTTAAGACATGTAAAAAAGAATTAAAACTAAGAGCAAAAGGGATGAAAACGCACCAGCGTCTACGTGTCTGGAGATGCCCAAACAAAAAAGTTTTAAGAAGGCGCTGAAAGCAGCACAGCAAAGGTGCCTGTCTGATATCAACAGGCATGGAGTTCCAAAGTATAGTTGGTGCCACACTAAACAATTGATTTCTTACAACTGCATAACAAGCCAGTTACATGCCACTTCCTCAGATGGAAGCAGTTGAGTGGGCACATTTATTTTTATTTTTTAATGGCATGATTGTTAAATATCAGGTGCCAGGGGAGGGTTCTTATCAAGATTGAATGGCATGGCCGGAGCAGGGGAAGTTTGATTTCCCTAAGCGTTGGGGTTAGAAACTTCCCATTGGTGCCCAAATGGAAATCCCATTCATTTTGTTTTCCCCAGCCATTTACAATTGCTTTGCAGTGAAGACAGTCCTGCACTCCTTCCCTGGCATGAGATGGGTAGCCTTGAGCACAGTACACAGGTCACAGGAAGGTCACAGGGACAGAGAAGAAAACGACATTGGAAAGCTCTGCTTAGAACAGCCTTTAGCACTGAGACTTTTTTCAGCAAGAGGCTGCATTCTCTCCTGGACCACCTTTGGAGGGCCATATGCCAGTGGAGATTGGGAGCCAGAGGAAACAGTGAGTGCAGCAATGAATTTCAGAATGGCACGGGGAAGCTATTCTACCTACCCTGCACAGGTAAGGCAGATTTATTTATTTCTATCCCACACTGCCAACTACCCACTATAGTGCAAAAATAGGGTGACAGGGCCCACAAACACTCATCTTACAGTAGCAATTGTATTGACTTACCAAATTGTGGTTTTAATACCTTTACACAATTGTTCTCTCCTCCCTGCAGTCTCATTTACAAGAGTTTCATATCTTGCTGCTGAAATCCTGTCAGTATATCACATACCCTTATCAAGAATATAAAAGGGCTTTCCTTGCCTCTTGTGTTCAAAGAATTATATAATAGGGTTTTCCCAACTGAGCGTTTTGATTGCTGTGCTCTTAGGGCCACCTTTCATTTTTTATGAGGCCATTCTAGGACAACTTGGTGATATTACTGTGCTTTGCCAAATGTACAATTAAGCAAAAGTTTACACAGCCAGGGTAAATAAATGGCTGCTTTATATCACCTCTGTAGGCATCGTGCCAAACTTGGAAGTGACCTGAAAACATTACAAAAGCATCACAAAAGGGGGCAGAATGGGGAGGGAGGCAGGACAGGGTGTTTGCAGGCTTTTTCAATGGCATTTCAAATATACGTGATTTCACTTAAACACATGCTGCCTTGAAATGTAACCCCTGCATAAATTGGTGGTTGCCTGTATATATAGTTGCATTTGGCCAACAATACACAACTGTTGTTATCTAGGTATGTCATGTTATTACATTTCCAGCTGCCCTGCCACAAAGATTCTGCTATACACAAGAACTGGTTACGTGCTCCAGTCTGCTATACTAAGTCAGGAAAAGAATATTCTGCTAGCTGGTTCTCTTGCACATGTGTAAGCCGCTTCGAAAAGAATCCACTGTTCCTGTGATCTTAATACCAAAGGAGCATTTAGTGTGCCTACCCATATGAGGTTATTCTGTCGGAAAGCAGCTGACGTCGTTGAGGTGCGAATATGAAATTTTTCCTATTAACTCTCCCCATTTCAGGAACCTGCTTTGCTGAGATGTTTTATTTTTGCCATGTAACTTGGCACAGCCTCTGAGCTAAGTGCTCTTCAAATATGGAAAATCTGCTGAAAAACAAAAAATCTTTGATTACCCACAGAACATCCCCGAAGCAATCAGGAAGGGCAAGACTACAGTTTCAACCACTGCTGGCATGGGACTCAGAACTAAGTTCAATTAAGGCTAAATTCAATAGGATTTACTTCTGGATAGATGTGGATAGCACTGTAGTGTCATTTGGGAGTTGAAAGAAATGATGGGATCCAGTCTAAGGCACATTATGAGTATCAATGACAGGCAAGGTAAAGTTGACAGAAGGCTTTAAATGAAGAAATGCAGCAGTTTCTGTGGGAAAGATGCTCCTTTTCTTACAAGCCAACAATTTTAATGCATTTTGATTACAGTCCAAGTCCTTAAAAGTACTCACTGTGGTGCAATGCAGATTGTTGAGCATAATCTATTCGGGGCTCTCATGTAAGCCACACTGAAATACATGGAGTTTAGCTCCACCGTGATGCCATTTCTGTAATGTGTGATGAAACAGAGGCCTACCAGTACTTTCTTTAGAACACTATCCTGTGTTTAGTTATTAAGAGCTATTATATCTGCGCTCTTCAATCAAGTTATAAAAGGGCAGTTACTTTTTAAAACCATAGTAAAATAGACAAGCTGAAAACAAGCAAATTCATAAAAGCCACAGCAAAGTAATAGACAAGTGAAAATAAAACCGAACAAAAAGTTTAAAAGTCTGGGGAAATTAAGGTCTCTATCTGGTGAAAGAAAGAAGCAAAGTGAATGTCAGATGAGCCTTTCTAAGATTTCCAGAGGGATAGCGTGTTTATTTCTGTGATGCTAAAACACAAGTAATGTCATCTGGACCTAACCCTGCATTTCCTTTGCATTTCACTGTTTGCACACAACCCACTGATGTGTGTGTACACCTGCCAACTTAGGATAGCCTATTAGGGAAAACATCCTTACAAGGCAGCTTCTATAAAAATAAAACCCGCATTTCACGTTGTGCTTAAGTCATATTTCAGCCATCATTAAAAACGATAAAAATGTGTTAAGCATAAAAATGACCTTAGCTGTAAAAAAGAAACTATTAACAACTGGAATGCCATTAAAACAATTATAACATTTAATGCATCTGCAGAAGTAGACTGAAGTCCTCAAATGCTTATGCCACAATAAATTTGTTAAGTCTTTAGGGTGCTGCAGGTCTTTTAGTATCTTCTTTGGGGAAAACATTCCAAAACCACCCTAAAAAGGCACTTTCCCATTGTAATGCACATGGAATAACCTAGAGGATAGACTCTAATGATGATGTTCAGATTGGCACATGTGGAGAAAGACTGCATGTACCCTTGTGCTGAAAGGTTTTACAAGTCAAGTCATGGGTGGTGCTGTGGTCTAAACCGGTGCTGTGGTCTAAACCAGTGTGCCTTTCGGGTTTGCCGACTGGAAGGTTGGCAGTTTGAATTTGCACAATGGGGTGATCTCCCGGTGCTCTGTCCCAGCTTCTGCCAACCTAGCAGTTCAAAAGCATACCAGCTCTAGTAGATAAATAGGTACCACTGCGGTGGGAAGGTAAACAGCATTTCCATGCGCTCTGGTTTCCGTCACAGTGTTCCATTGTGCCAGAAGCGGTTTAGTCATGCTGCCCACATGACCCAGAAAGCTGTCTGCAGACAAATGCCAGCTCCCTTGGCCTGAAGCAAGATGAGCGCCGCACCCCAGTCACCTTTGACTGGACTTAACTGTCCAGGAGTCATTTACCTTTTACCTTACCTTAAAGGTCAAGAACAGCTTACCACTGCACTATGATCTACATATATAGCAACACCCTAGAGGTCCCGGGCCCTAAGGAAGTTAGATTAGCCTCAACCAGAGCCAGGGCTTTTTCAACACTGGCTCCAGCCTGGTGGAACGCTCATGAGACCAGGGCCCTGCAGGATCTGATTTCTTTCCACAGGGCCTGTAAGACAGAGTCGTTCTGCCTGGCCTTTGGCTTGGAGTCAATTTGATTCCCTCCCCCTCTTTCTTCTTTCCTTTCTTCTCCTGTGATGAGGCTGCATTTTAATGTTGTATTTTAATCTTGTTTTTAAGTTGTATTCATTCAACTTGTTTTTATTATTGGTTGTTAGCCGCCCTGAGCCCAGCCTTGGCTGGGGAGGGCGGGGTATAAATAAAATTTATTATTATTATTATTAACAATTCCCCCCCAACACAATCAAGACAAACAGGTGCTTTTTGTGCTTTTATTAAGAAACAGAACCCATAGGGTTCAAACTTTAATATAAAGTACAATCATTTTTCAGGGTGATTTTTTTTTTTTGCTTGGCTTTTAACCTGGTTTTACAGTAGCTGAGAAAACACAAAAACACAAACCCCTGCATTATTGAATTCATCATTATGCAACATACATTATTAAGAAGCAAATTCTGTCTTAAGTACAGGAGGCAGAGCTTTGCTTTTTCAGTTTCAAACCAGAGCCTTATAAAGATACAGCATGCTTCTGAAGACTCCCCCCGCCCCCGCTCACATACTACTTAAGGCCACAGTTACAGTTTATTTGCAAGTAACCCAGGAGTGATCCCAAGATTGAAAACAAAAGAGCAGCATTGTCATTCTTTGTACTGATGCATGCTCTTCTGCTGTATGACAAGAATGATACCAACAGCCAGCTCTTATCGGTATTACAGTCAAGTCGTTGCAAGCACCTAATAACCATTGTTTTAGTCCTCCCAAGACATGCATGCTATACAGCCATGGTATTGCTATTCAAGTAATAAATAGGAGTTAAGAGACTTAATTTAGTTCTCATCAGATGAAATCCTGCATTTTTTTAAAAACAGGCATCCCATTAAAAAAGGCATCTGGGATACCACTCAGGATTGGATTTTAAGACAAATGTATTTTTTTTTTTAAGAATAAGTTGCAATGCAATTTTGGTTCAAGCTTCTTTTTCTTTCTGATACATAAACACAGCAAATGGGCAAAGTGTCACATTCTCATCTCATCTGAACAAGCATAAAACATTAGGCATTTCTAGCTCCTCACGTCAGATAATTAATGAATAAATATGCCTAGAAGTCAGTTTTGCCAAACTGTTTCTCTAATATGCCCAAGTAACAGAACCCAGCAGGTTTGACACCAAGTGGTTGGGAACATCATAGCACAGGCTAAGCGACCCTAAAGTCCATTCCCCTTACTTCCTCTCACAATGCAAACTACTTGTTGATATTTTTGGGTTGGGTAGGATGCCAGCTGCTCTGCCTGGAAACAATGTTGTAACGATCTTTATCTCTAGTACTAGACAACTCAACTCCCACAAGAAGGATGTAAGCGCCTGGGGCACACCAGACCCCTACAAATGATTTGCAAAGTTGCCTTTCCAGAAACACTCCATCCACTGCAAACACTGGCATTTTGCTAGTATCAGATAAGCTTGAAAAGAGGAAGAAATTCACCTGGCTGAGGGGAGGGAAAGATAGACTCTAGAGAACGAACTGGCTGCTTCATGTGAAATATAGTTTGGCTTTAGCAGTCCCACCTCACTTTTTTGACTAGCTAGTCATTTGCTGACTCGTAGCAAATAGTCCCTATATTGCACCATGGATTCTTCCTCCCTTCATGTTGTTTAAATTTCACCTTGTTTGGCAACTTGTAAGCAACAGTGCAACAGGCAGTAATAAGCACACACATATAAACTCTCAAGAGGCATTGCACACAAGTCAGGAGAAATCTCTGCCACCTTTGGCTGCAATCCAGCCTCCATTCTGCTTACTAATGGCTGGTGAAGTAAGTAAGACTTTTATCCATTCCACAATAATGGGAGGGATCCACTCCATCTTCTTCTCAGTGTGCTCACATTAAGAATATAGGGTTTCACTGCCGTTTCTCTCCATAATCAATCATTTTTGCTCCCTTCTCCTAATTCTCCCCTCCCCAATAGCTGTGCCTGACAAGCCTCCATCAAAATGAATTATATCAGCCTCCATGTACTTCTGGCCATCCCACAAACTGCTAACAGACCCCATCACTAGTATAAATATCCACTCAGCAAGAAAACACAAATATTAGAGGAAGTCAGTAATGCAGATTCCAGGGCCCTTAACACGTGTGTGTGTGTGTCTTTTAAAGTGTCAATGCTTATTATTCTGTTACGGTAAATTGTTTAGAAGTGGTGACCCCAATTAAATCAGGCCGCAGCTTAATTTTCATATACCTGTTAAAAACTATTTTTAAAGATGCAGAAGTCATCTTAGAGGCACTGGTTTTTTCCTTAATATGGTGACTGCTTCAAACTTATTTCTTGTTCATACAGGGTCATTAAGGTATGGTGCTTTGCAGTGTACAAGAGGTCAAGTCCCTGCCCAAGCAGGTTGCAATCCATAATTTGATAAAGGAGGCAGGAAGAGAAGAAGAGAAGTGAAGTTAGCAGGAAACAGGGAAATGTATATGCACTGTTGGGTATAGGCTTGATAGAAAAGGTGATCTGAAGGGAGAAGGCGGGTGGCATCATGCAGGTGCATGCACTATCATATAAAAGCTAAGAAATCCCTCCCCCTTTAGAACTACTTCCTTTTTACTCATTGCAAACATAATAAATCCAGAATTTAATGGACAATTTAGGTTTCTTCAGTGGCGTAGCGTGGGGGGTGCAGGGGGGGCCCCGGCCGCAACATCTGGGGGGGCGCTCGCACTCGCAGCTCTCTGCCCCTACCTGGCTCACTCACTCTCTCTCTCTCTGCAAACAATACATGTGCTTAGGGGGTAAGGGTTTCTTTAACTAATCTAGTGGAAGAGACTCTAGTGCTAAAATCCACGGGTTAGGGGGTGCAAATTACTTGCCTTGCCCCGGGTGCTGACAACCCACGCTACGCCACTGGGTTTCTTACCAGCTGCAGTATATCTGCTTTAAAAGATAATGTACATACCATACAGGATTTCCTTCAATCTATGAGGCACCCCTAATATAAGACTTTATGCTTAGCAGCAATATTCACTATTCTAAATGACCTGAGGAACAACTCAAGTTATATTGCACCATAGTAAAGACACAGCCCAATTCTGAAGAAAGCAAAGAACAATTCCCTGATAAGTGAGCCAGATTGCTGTACATAAACACGTGCACTGATAAAGGTTCTCATGTTGCTTTTAAGGAGAACTGCCCTACTAAATAATGATTCTCCAAGAACCTCTCTCCCAACAACCCCCAAAATTCATAGAGAAATGACTATCAAACTGGAAATTTAACAGGGGCAGATCCAACTGCAGAATTACGCTTTTTGGTCTCGGCTGGCTCTCATATCCAAAACAGAGGTAGATTTTTTTTAAAAAGGCTTTTAAACACAGTAATTCATTATTGGAAATCATAGCTACTCCTTTCTTCATTCTTTATAGACACTCCTGCAGAGTGCTAAAGCATCCTACCTATAATTGCTCTAGTGGCAGTGGCTCAAGTTGCTGAATTTAAGGACTGGTGTAGTATTTGGCTGCCCTTGCCAGATTTTGTCCCATTGGTAAAGATGCAGAGGGGGGGGGGGACAGTTCTGGAGAGTTGTAGAAAAATTAACTGTATTTCCCTTAACAAAACAAAACAAAACCTTGAAGTGCAGCAACAAAACTCCAGCTTCATCACTGAAATAAATGTCTGCCATTCATAATTAAAAAGAGCTGGCACCTTCATAACTCTTGCTATATATTAATATTCCCTATAAAGTAATATGCATTTTAAGACCACTAATTGATAGGTGTCCATCTGACATTTCTTTCTTTCTTTAAATTAATACATTCTTATTTTTGATGCTGAGTACAGTCAGGACCTCAGATTTTCTTGCTTGGGTACTGAAATTGTCAAGCAGAAGCCCTTGTAAACTAAAGGAGTGCTTTTTAGAAGCTTACTCTTATTTTTATGTCCCTTCTCAGGATAATTTAGTCATGCAGATAAAACAACTATATCTCCTCGGTGCAGCCTTTTTGTTATGTGGTTTGGCTGCTCTTGAAAATATCCTCAGCATGATTTTTGCACTATATGCACCAGTTTCTAAATTTTCTTTCTTCTTAGTTATTTTTCAGTTGCTCCAGGTAAGATAGGGGCCACTTTCTTGGTAATCTGACCTCATGGTTTCTTCTTTGCCAGCGAAACTACACGACTTTCTTCCATCTCTTGCCTCTCCTCAAAGAGGCAAGGTGTAGTCCATCTTAATGTTTCAGTTGCCTTGATACCTTTAAGCAATAAATTGCTTTAAAAAAACTTTTAGGCTGTAGAAAACAAAATCAAGATATTCCATCTGATCAAGATGCAGCTTTCTCAATCATCCTTAAGCCATTATTGAAACTGGCTGGCTATCTTCCACCTCAGTAGGATGTGGGTCAATCTGCAGAGAAAATAATACACTTTACTGCTTGGGATTCTGAAGTTAATATAAGCTTTTTTTTGGTAGATTTAGACAGAACTTGCACTCAGGGATCTTGATTTACCTCTGAATAGAGAGGTGGGGGCTGAAACCGGAACTCCTGAATGTAGGCCAACATAGGGCAGCATAGTTCTTCATTGCAGTCAAGTAGTTGTGGATAAGCAGTGACATGTCTTGAGAACTCTTCCTCTGACACGATATCGGCATAATTGGGCGGTGCTAGCAAAAGAAAATATTTTTTAAAACATACATTAGCTACTCCTTCCATGGTTCTCTTCTGTAGATGAATCTTCTCCTAAGCCCTACTCTATGATGGCTGATGACCAACAACACAAATGAGATTTTAGTGTAAATGATGAATCACTTAAGAAGCACTGGAATCTGAATACAGGTATTACTTTCTGTTTCAATGATATACTTGTGACAAACCAGAGGGATTTCATGATTTATTATTACTTAATGTACTTGTATTTCTTCCTTTCCCAGCATGGCATTTTCTTCTCATAGTCACCTGACAAAACATCAGCTAGCCCAAGGCAGGAATGGAGAACCTATGTCCTTCCAGTTGCTACTGGACTGAAACTCCCATCACCCCTGATAATTGGCCTTACTGGCTGGGGCTGATGGGAGTTGGGAGTCCAGCAACATCTGGAGGGCCACATGTTTTACCATCTCTGGTTTAAGTTGACAAAAACCTCCCCAGTTCAAGCTCAGCAATCAATTTACTACAGTGGAGGCGCTGGGGGAAAAAAATGGAGCCCCCCCCAAAGGGTAAAGTATGTTTCTAGGTGGGTTGAAAGAATAAATAAGCACTTGCATGTCCCCCTGCCCTGCCTCTGGAACTATCTATGACTTTTTACATTGGCTCTAGTTCACTTCATGAGAGCTTCACAATTTATTTTTGCAATGTATATAGCAGCTCCTGCTACTGCAAGAAAAACAACAACAACCCAGCCAGAATAATACAGACACCAATCTCATAACCCAAAATTGTACCTTCTGGATGTTCTGGCATTGATAGTGCCAACCAGCTCATATCCATGCTGAACTGGCTGGCAAGGCTGGAGTTTCTGCTGGAAAATGCAGTACATGGAATTGTGCCAATCACTAGAGGCAGCTCAAGCATCAACTTTTTAGCACCAGGAATATGAATGTACACCTGTGATGAGAGAGACACAATTTCACAGAATCTGTCCGAGAGGAGCCAAACCTAGCACTGCAAACGTATCCAAAGGCAAGATCAGAAATTTTCCATAAACCCAACAATTTTGGATTAGGGTTGCACCAATCCTGCAAATGATGAAACTACAATCTGCCCCATCCTATTCCCACATAGTTTTAGAAGAAATTCACAGATTATTATTTTTTTAAAAGGGAGAGGTTAATGTTGTTTACAAGTTAAAAAAACACCACAAGGTGGTTATAGATCTTCATATGTATGAGGTGGCCTGAGGATTGCCTGTCTTCACTCCAGTTGTTTTAAAAAGATTCTTCCAAGGACCTAGATTAGCAGCTAGGCAGTGCACAGGGCTTCTTGAAGGGGTTACACACCCTCTGAAGGAGCGGCTATGCAGCTTGGGGGTACTTCTGCATCCTTTGCTGACACTTGAGGCTCAGGTGGCTGGTGGCTCAGCTGTGCCCCTATCTGGAACAGCCTAACTACTATTGTCTATGCTCTGGTAATCTCTAGGTAAGATTCTTGCACTGCATGATACATAGGGCTGCCTCTGAAACTTCAGTTAGTGCAGAATACAGTGGCCAGGTTGCTCACAGGGGCAAGACAGTTTGAGCATATTACACTGATCCTGGCCAGACTGCACTGGCTGCCAGTTAGTTTCTGGATCCAATTCAAAGTGCTGGTTTTGACCTACAAAGCCTTAAATGACTCAGGACAGCAACACCTCAAGGACCACCACTCTCCATATGGACCTACCGGGACCCTGAGATCATCATGTGAGGCCCTTCTTTGGGTGCCTCTTCCACGAGAGGTCTGGAGGGTGGCAGCACGAGAACAGGCCTTTTCTGCAGTGACTCCCCATTTGCAGAAAACTCTTCCCAGGGAAGTTCACCTGGCACCTTCATTATACACCATTAGGAGCCAGATGAAAATGTTCCTCTTAAACCAGGCCTTTGGCTGGTTTACAACTGCTGCCTTTTAAAATGTATTGTTGAGGGGCTGGGGTTGTTTTTGTTCTTATTTTTATTATGTATTTTGTGTTTTTCATACAGGCAATCACTGTTTTGTACACATTCAAAGCACGCCCTACTGTGCATGCATGCATGCATCTCCCCAACCCGGAAGTTGCCATAATAGGAGTAGGAGGTGAAACAGGCTTACACGCGCTCTGCTGATACACATGGGGTCAGGAACACAACCCCCATGCAAAACAGCTCTTGCCTGTAGTAATTTGTGAACCACCCTGAGATCTATGCATGTAGGGCGGTATGCAAATTTAACAAATCATGATGACAATAAAATATCTAGAAAAGCGGGAGGCAGCCCTCAGGCCATCTCATACCTATGGAGAGCTACAATATATCTACAAATCCAGCCATGTGCAGCTTCTGAAATGGACTCCTGATCTGCACATTGGTTTGGGTGAATGAGCTCAGATGTGTTCACTTTGGAAACTACGCTCGCAGGATTCTTCCTTTATCCCTATTTGGGGGTAAAGCACATATAACTGTGCTGTCATTCATATACATCTACCCTCAGGAACTTGGCTTTGTTTCATACTTTCAACATTACCTTCCAGCCATTTTAACACCATCTCAACCACTTCAGTTGTGGACTCCTAACCCCTTAAAATTCCAGCAACTAAATGTTAGCCTACTGCTTTTGGACATACAGAACAATTCACACTCTATGAAGGAGCAAGCAATGCTTAGGAATATTTAGTAAAAGATAAGTATGCCTGAATTTAAGTCTGTTTAGTTACATTAACACAGTCTTCAAACCTTAAATTAAATAGTGAAAAGCCACACTTACAGCTAAGGAATATTCAACTCTGATAATACAGCAGTCAAGGATAGAAGGGGTGACAGGTGGAATTTTCAAAGTTTTCCCATTCCAGGTATCTGTGCTCCCAGAAGCAACATGGTTTCCTCGCACATTGGCGACCATCTGCCGAAAAGTTTTCGTTTTCCCACTAGCCAGATAAGTCTGTGTTTGGAAAATAGCAGCTTTTGGAACAATTAAGCGAGAGGAACAATTCTCAATTTCTGCATAAATTGGTATTGCTTCACCTAAAAAAGAAAGAAAGAATTTCACAAAGAACGAATTAATTACCAAACATTATGATGTACTTGAGTGACAAAGAACTTCATTCATCACATGATGCAAATTATTTTTCTTCCTTCTGTTGCGAGTTTATAATGTTTAGAAAAAAACTTCCTATGTTTATTGTGGCAACAAGCACCATGAATAGTCCTACATTTGTATACGTATCTGCAATGATTTTACTAATCATTTATTTGGCTTTCTACTTAACCTTTTCCCTCTTAAAGTGACAAAACCTGAGGCTTTTTAGATAGGGTATTGATGTTATGGGGAAAACATGGCATTCCAACACTAATATAGAAGCAGAAGGACACCTGCAGAGGAGAACAAGAGGATTGGGGAGGGGAGGTCCTTAGCTGTTCCTCTGCCCACCAATTCTACTCTGCGAGTGCCATCATCCCAGACCATCTAAATCACTTTTTCCTAACTCTGGCTCTGAAAACAGCAGAACAGGGTGAGATTTTTTTTGAAGAAAACCAGCTGATGTGGAAATGCTTGAGCCCTTCCATCCCACTTGTCAACCCTCCCAAGAAAATTCCACCCCCAATAGGAATTTGGGATAATAGGATCTTGACAGAGGGGTGGGACTTGGTATTTATCAACCTAATATCCAGTTTCAGTCTTATTGAAGAAGGTACACTTGCCATTACAATAGCCTTTCCTCTCTATTTTGGCACTGAGGGAAACTGGGCCAGAAGTGAAAAACCAGCATCCAATCATCTTCTCCTGGCTTCGTCTTACAGGGCTCTGTAAAAAAGAATTTTAAAAAATCATTAAAAGAATAGTGGTTTCAAACCCACAGGTACCAGCAATTCACCTGTGCTTGACTCACCAATTAAGAGTTTGTTTATTTACAGGCATTTATAGCTTGTCCTTTACCCATGTGGTCTCTGAGCAAGCTACACACAGCTCAATATAATTAAACCAATATAACATATTCAGCCCACAAAGGTCCGTGCAGAAAAGTGCACCTTGTGATAAGTGAGGTACGTTAAGGCGAGACCCACAATGGCATTAGCTTTGGCAGTAGCCATCACAAGGCAAGGGAGGCAAAGCAGGTAGCTCTACCCATGTGGCACACCACAATCCACTTTAACAATCCAGGTTACTGCTCCATATGAGGCAAACAGGATTTGCATTCTCTCAGACAGCTCCAAAGTGAGTGTAATTCTTTTTGGAGAAGACATGTCCCCTTCCCATTTTTATTCCACATGGCATCTCTGCATATACACACTTTTGGCAATCAGTGCAGTCTTATTGCTCTCTGTTGCAGTAACTAGGCATCCCAGGTTAGCAATTCAAATTTACTATCCAGATGTTCATATCAATTACTATTATTTAAATGACATTAGTGGCCACATGTGCAAAGTACCAAGTCACTGTGTAATACTACTCTCTTGTTGTTATAATTGATCCTAAATATTTATTTGTTTGGGGCAACACAATGTGAGAGTGATCTACTGAGACCATGCACATGTAATATTTCTTTACTCAGCAGGCACAGAGGTGTGAAGCAGTGGCAGCAATTACACGGGCAGAAAATGCATCTCCCTCCATTCTCTATGGTGGGAAGGGATAAAGCTTCTGCCAACCCTCAACAGCATATTATTTTATTTTAATGGGATGACATGCTTTCCTCCATCTAAATGGACCCAAATGAGAAAATGCATAAAGGAGTCTCTGTAGACAGTGGTTAATTTTGAAATGGAAGGTTACTGAATCCCTCAGGAATTGATTTAGAACTCAAGCCTACTAAGAATCATATGGCACACAACAAGTCCAGTTTACACAATTTTATGAACTACCACCTTATGCTATGCTGCAAAATGCAAGTTAATTTTTGTTCACATTCTTACAAATATTAGAATGGGGTGGTCAAAAGGGACAGCAGTCAATTAATACTTTATAGACAGAAAAATGACCCCACTTGAAAGTTAACCAAAGTCATTCGACTTATTTTATTGTTTCATTGTTACCAGACTTATCAAGCAGGAACAAATATGGGAAGCAATCATAGATATGGTAAACACACAACACAGAGATGACAGAATTAATTTCAAATACTCTAGCATCCTTATATGTGAGTGGATTTTGTGTTTTGTGTATGTGATTTCCTAAGGTACACCTAATGGGAAGCTGCTCGGGGAAAAAACCCTGCCCGCAAAACTCTTTTCTCAATGCCCAAAGGCTGTTGCCAACAAGAGGAGGCACACTGGTGCTTTGGCCAAAGAGGATATTGTTTTAGTGAGCAGTCTCAACTGGTTTATATTATCATTTCATAATAATGCATGGAAGTTCAAATGTTAGTTTAGACTTGAGAAACAAAACCAAACAAACTGCACAACCTATTCAGCTGGGTAAAGCAGTTACAGTATTTGGCAAGTTATGTTACAGGGCTGAATTAGCTACACATCAGAAAACAAGTGTGACTAACATTTTTAATTAACATTGAAGTAATGAAAATATGCAGCCAACAAGGTTAGGAGAGTTACTTGAGGTAATATTAACATCACCTGTGCTAAGCCCTACTAGGCTAACTTAAGAAAACTAACATGAAAGTTCAAGCAAACGGAAGGCATCCTACACAAAAGAGAGAATGACCAGAGACACAATGCAGTGAACTGCATTTGCTACAGTGAACTGTACTTGCTATAGACTTAACAGCAACAGCAGGAGGTTGAGCTACAGCTCCACTGGCTTTCATCTACCTCTCTCTGGGCCATTTCGAACTACTGTACCAGAACAGCAGTACATATTTTACAGACAAAACGAGTGCATAATTATTGTGTAACAGGAATGAATTTTAAGAAGCACAAAGCCAAGCAAATGTCACAGATTCAGAAAGAACCTCATGGGTATTTTAGTTCAAGCCACTCCCCCACCACTCAAACTTGTGAGTGACCTTCCATAAAAAAAGATTCCCTTAGCAATCTGTTCCTTTGCATGGCTTCTGTTATCAGATCTTCCTTAATGCTAACCCAAGTCTGTCTTTCCTGCTGATCTGACATTTCATAAGTTGTAAAAACTCATTTCACTAAAATAAGTTATTACACTGAATAAAGTTAAAGGGTACAGAACTGGCTCATACGCCATTAAGTCATTCGGGGGGGGGGGGGGGAGGGGGAGGGACAGGTAGAATTTCCAGTCAATATTATGCAGGGGGGGTCAGGATCCAAATAACATGACAGTTAGTTCTAAATGTCCAAGGAGGTTTTTGGACCTGTTTCTCAAATAGCAGCTCCCTGCTGGAAGGCAAGCTAATTTTGAAAGAGAAAAGCATTACAGGAGTAGTTTGTGGTATGACACATTGATTAGGAACATCAGACTCCCAGCCAAACTCACTGGAACAACCAAGCCTTGAGGACGTTGAAAACTGACCTTTGGGTCCCTTGGACCAGACATTCATGTAAAAATACACACACTTCTGGAAACAAGGTTACACTTAACCTACTTTATACATAAAAATAACCCACTGGATTTTGGTTCAGCCATCCACTGAAGTGTGAAGAACAAAATTCAAAATTGGATCCATATATCATTTAAGCAATACTAAATGCCACAAACAATTGCAGGCTTTTCATTTATATATTACCTGGTCACTACTGACAACTAGGAAATTTCTTTCAGAATGACTCAGAGTAATTTCAAAGGGTGATTGCAACCCTTTAAAAACTCTTTCCCCCCTCTCTCTGTGGGTATGTATATGTGTGGGTGTGCATGCACAGAGAGTGGATCTCTTAGTTCAGTGCTGATCAAATGCACGTCAACCATCAAGTCAATACCTTTTATTCAGAAGCTTTCTGCTTTGTATTGCAAAGAGCCCTGTAAATGTTATTTATTCTGTGCCATTTGAAGGCTACTGGACTGAGAATCAGTGGATCCTCTGGGCTCTGTTTTTCAAATTTTCAGGTGCTTTTATATATAGACAGATAGATAGTGGTACCTTGGGTTAAGAACTTAGTATGTTCTGGAGGTCCGTTCTTAACCTAAAACTGTTCTTAACCTGAAGTACCACTTTAGCTAATGGGATCTCCCGCTGCCGCCGCACGATTTCTGTTCTCATCCTGAAGCAAAATTCTTAACCCAAGGTACTATTTCTGGGTTAGCGGAGCCTGTAACCTGAAGTGTCTATAACCCGAGGTACCACTGTAATATATATATTTATAAACAAACAAACATTTTCCTTGCTCTCAGAACGAATCATAGGTAAGGGTGTAAGGTGAACTCTTTGCTGCAGAAGCTGAAGTTGTTATAAGGGAAAACAGACTGAAAACTGCTTTTGTATGGAGTTTGAAAGCTATGCCAAATGAAATGGTTATTTGGTGAGTAAGGCAGTTTAGTAATACTTGAATGCTTCACATATTCTGGCTGAGCAAGTTCTCATGTAAGCATTAGCAAAGGCTTGTTCAAATAAAAGGTGCAGGGGGAAAAAAGAAGAGAGCTAGACAGGCAGGTATATATATATATATACACTGATGGTACAGTGGCAGATATGGTGTATCAAAAAATTCAGAGAAGAGGAGACAAGGCTATTCACCTTTAAATCTTGCATAGTTTCTAATCATTGACCCTGATTTGTATTCAGCAAGAATGTTATACTTTATTATAAGGGGTGGGGAACATGTGTCCCTCCAACTACAACTCCCATCATTCCTGGTTATTGGTCCATTCTGGCTGAGGGTGATGGTAGTTGGAATCTAACAATGCCTTGAGAGTCAAAAGTTCTCCACCTCTCCTTTACACAATGGGCCAATAATACACCCAGTCCTAACCCTCAATCTAACAAGAAGCAAAAGCTGCAGGGGAAAAACAATGCTGAATACCAAGAGCACAGAATACTTGCTACATTAGCATTATGATGAAAAGATAAAATGGTTCCAGCATTTCCTGAGCAGCAGAAATCACAGAATCAGATTTAAGCAAGCAGTTATTAGATCTTAGGTCCCATAATAAGAAGGGAAGATCTCATTTTATGTTTAGATGGAATAGGAATGCAGCCCACTTCCATTCTGATCTTATTTTCTGTAATAATTCCACTGATCATGCTTTAAATGTGAGTAAATCCGTAATATTAATAACAGAAGATCTGAGACAGCTGCATCTATACACGTAATGCTAAAAAAAAGAAATGCAAAATGGAAGGATGTATAGGATGAAAACCAGAGCTTAAATCACAGGCTAGAAATGATAAATAGTTCACTATAATGCCTGTTCTATCATTCCCTCTATCTCTGATATTCAGGCTGCAAATACTATTACTTGCATAGCCACAACAGCACCACCACCCCACAAGCAGCTGGAAAATTTGCAGAAGTACAAAATAACTTTAGGGGGGAAAAACCCAAAACAGCCCAATGAGGAGTGAGTGTGCTCAGTGGAATGTTGACCAGCTGGGGACCACCTGTGCCAAAATATACTTCTACATGTTATTTTTGTGATGACCAGTGGTTTCTAACAAATACATATGAGTGACTGGCTGGCTGTTGAGGAAACAGAAAACCAGGGGGTGGGGTGGCGGGATGGAGCAGAGTGGCTGGAATCCGGAACAGCCGTACTGTACTCCACACTACAATATTTTTTATTCTGGTCCCACTTATAGCCTAGTATTACTGAGAGAGTGTCAGTCGTTGCAGCCATGTAAATGTAGCTACTCTGATATAAAGTACTTTAGGCTTTGTGTTATTGTTATTAATGCATGTCAATCCTGCCCCAACTTTTGGCAGAAACAGCTGTGCCAGCAGGGATGTAATCAATGGTATTAAACAGCAACAAAAAACTGTTGGCAATCCATGCAGCCTAAAGGCTATCTATTTATAGAGGAAGCTTAGAAGGGAGCTTACATGCATTTGAAAAGTCAGCAAAGTTACAGACCAAAATATCACAGACCTGGTTATAGCTGAGGGTTAATAGCACGTATAGCACAGCTAGATCTGCTCTTACCAGTAGAATGGGTGAATTGACATCTATGTGGCTGATAACCTGGAACTCTCTCTTCACAGTTTGATCAGGGACCATTGGCCTTTCCAGGGTTGCTTTCACACAGTACTGGATGTTGCCATATTTGCCCGTGAAGGAGGTTGCTAAAGGTCTGGACACAAAACAAAACAAAATACCCATTTACAAGTTTGGCACCTTTCTCAGAGGTAGACTTAACAAATGCATGGTCAACCACCTTCTTGCTAGAATGCCCATGGCATGAGCAACATAAACCAAGCAGGTATGTTTAAGAGAAGCTAGGGCATGACAAAACAATTTTAAGATCGACTGTATGCATTATATGGGCCTGTGAATGAGCAAAACTATGCCAAGCAGCATTTGAGCTTCCTGCACATCTTAGGCGTCATCAAAATACTTTGTAACAGGGGTGGCATGCCAGTATATCTACCACCTATTTGACCAACAGGTGGATAAAAAAATCAATGAACACAAGATTGCTATTGTTTGGGTGGCAGTTTACTTGTATCATTTCCCTATAGGTTCATTTGTTTGCAAACACAGGAGAGGACTGTTTGCCTCCTAGCTGTGCAGTAGTCAGGGGGCAGAGACAAGAATTGCAGAAAACTTCCTCTGACAACCTGCTGTAACTGAAGGTTTCTTTAAGCAGTAACACAAACAGCCATTGATGGAAACATCATTGTTTTAATTGCATTATTTTGGGTAATTTTGTACGTCAAGTCTGGTGTACAGGACAAAAGCCAACAAAATAAATCCTGTTTAGTCCAGCTGTTGCATCCCATCCCCATTTCCTATGTGCTAGATGCATCCATGTGCTAGAGGAAAAAGCAGGGAAACTGCTCTAGAAGTATAGTCTCCCAATGTTATTTAAATCACCTTTCATTCAGGATTCTGAATTACATAAGGTGTCTACATGCCTAGACTCTCAATACACAGCCAAGGACATAATGGATGGTTCAGGGCCAGCAAGTGTGTCCCTGTTCTCATCATGTGAACAAGTAAATATCTGAATATGGCTTAACTGCTCAGCGAATCATTCACATTTCTACAGAACTAATCTAACATTGCTAGAAGTCAATTTATTAAAAGTTGTAAATACTGGTAAAAGTTAATTTCATTGTACCACTATAATAATTTTGTAATTAGAATATACATCAAACCATTTGACAATGGGCAGATCAATTCTAAGTGGGATGGTGGGTGGAAAGTGAAGGGATGGATCACCCAACTCCAAAGCCTTGCATGCTTGTGCCAGTCAGTGTAGTAGATGTCTGTCTATACCATAGCTGTCAACCTTCCCTTTTTTTGTGGGAAATTCCCTTATTCAAGCGCTGTTTGTTGGATCCCTGGATTGTTAGATATCCCGTAGACTGTCCCTGGGACAGGTGAGGCTGCTGATCCCTTATTTTTGAGGCTGCTGATCCCTTATTTTCAAATCTGAAAGTTGACAGCTATGGTCTATACATGCATGCACACACACACACACACACACACACACACACACTTCTTCTGCTTTGCCCGTTTTATGAAATGTTCCTTCTAAACCAAGGAGGGGAGGAATTAAGTGGGTGAGTACAATTCTCTTGGAGAATTAAAAGGGTGGTTGAGCCAGCCTCTGCCCCACCCCAGAATGTCCTGTTTCAGGGCCTCACCTGGTAACACACTACCAGTGATAATTTACACTTGTGGCATTTTTCCACTGGCCTCTGGGGCAGACATGCACTGCCACCTTCCCAGGATGCCAGAGAGGGGTCTTTGAAACATCTTAATTCTCCCAGCCAGCAGATCTAGGGGTTAGCTTTACTCTGTAGAGTTGTTACCTTTCTTCTAAGAAGTTATCTCTTTAAAACACACTTGACCATTATTTGATTGGTCTGTTGATCAACTGTTTTTTGACTGGTCATCTGTTCAACCATACTTTTTTGGCTTCATGATTGTGATGAAAGGCACAGGTGTTGCCTGCTGAAGGCATGGGATAAAGAAGCTCCTGCTACCAGGGAGAAAAATATCTACAGGAATAACCCTTTCTCTCCCTAGGTCATCCACCATCTTACTATCCACATTTTTCTGTCCCCTCTCCTTATAAAGAGAACACATTTCTCTTTAAGCCCTAGCCCAGGGATGGAGACTTGAGCCCTCCAGATGTTGTTGGACTCCTATCAGCCCCAGCCAGCATGGCTAAAGATCAGGGGTGACTGAAACTGGAATCCAACAGCATCTGGAGGGCCAAAGGCTACCCAATTCCCATACAAACAGTATTTACAGTTCCACAAAACTCTATATCAATGCTATTCAACTGCTTCAGCTTTGCCAACTGCAAAAATTAAGCTGCTTACATTGACCTGCTGCCTTCTCATATCCTCCTCCATCACAATTTGTTTCAGCTCGTGAGCGCAAGATAAACAGTACTGCAAGAGGCACATTTGTATCTTATGTTGCATTTTACCTCTGCCCCATCCCAACTGCTTGCATCAGGTCATCCTGCTTGATTCATTTAATAGAAAAAAGGGCAGGAGAGTACTAAAGCCTAAATTCTAACTCCCAAGGCTCTACAGAATAAGGCACTTTCTTTAAACTCTAAACAAGATACAAACCAAACAAAATCAATATACAGACAGAATTTGGGTCACAAAGTATAATCTATCTATATATATTTCTGTTATTTTTGAAGTGTCCCTAGATAGTTTCAAGAAAACAATAAAAACCAATATGTCAAATTATGCTACATCACTTACTGCTGGGGGAGTTGAAAGCTGAAAGGGTATTCATGTTTTCCGGCTTCTAACAGGATTAAGCCCTCATCACCTACAGGGAAAAGAAGACACGTGGTTGGCTTTTTCCTCCCACTTTTTGAAAAAATTATAGATCATAATGATTCTGAACACACAAATTGCAGAATTAAGGCAATCTATTACTTAGGGGGATGCGGGTGGTGCTGTGGTCTAAACCACAGAGACTAGGGCTTGCTGATCAGAAGGTCGGCGTTTCAAATCCCTGTGACGGGGTGAGCTCCTGTTGTTCAGTCCCAGCTCCTGCCAACCTAGCAGTTCGAAAGCACATCAAAGTGCAAGTAAATAAATAAATAGGTACTGCTCTGGCGGGAAGGTAAATGGCGTTTCCGTGTGCTGCTCTGGTTTCGCCAGAAGCGGCTTGGTCATGCTGGTCACATGACCTGGAAGGTGTACGCCAGCTCCCTCGGCCAGTAAAGCGAGATGAGTGCCGCAACCCCAGAGTCATCCGCAACTGGACCTAACGGTCAGTGGTCCGTTTACCTTTACCTATTACTTAGGTGCCACTTTGAAGAGGACTCCTATTGTGCTTCATCTATGACCAAGAGCTACTGCAGAACTTGCTAAAGGACGCAAAATGGCTTGGGTTAGGATTCACTTTCTTGCATCCCACTGTCTCCCCTTATACAAGCAATACAAACACTTGATTACCAGAAGCAAATATGATATGTGGGTGCATGCTACAAGCAGTGCTCTCTCTTGTGAATCACATTTGAAACTATTGCCTGTCTCCAACAGCTAAACAACTTTGTAATAGAATAAAGTGAACCGCTAAACAACTTTGTAATAGAATAAAGTAAGAAGGACAGAGAAGATAGTGTTTACTGCTGTCATGAAAAATAAAAATTTAGTGTTTATGAGGTACGTACACATATTTACAAAGTGTAAGTAAGAGCCATTGTAATGTACTATTTAAACTTAAGAATCATGTTCAATATTAAGTGTTGTCATGCTCACACCACTAACTGCACAAAACTGAACAGTGTGAATGAATTCCTACCACACCACACTGTCCAGCTTATTGTATTGCACCAATACAACAACATCATGGTTTGTGATGCTGTCTGGGTACAATGCTCCCACATTACAATCCTATGCATTTCATTCTTTAGGAACAAAGGAAGCTGCCTTTACTGAGTCAGACCATTAGTCTATCTAACTCAGTATTACTAGACAGGATCTGAAACCATGTTCACTGGCTAGGCCTGTTGCTACAGCAGAAACTTGCACGTGTTGTGTAACAGCCTGTGGAAGAGCCAGGGTTACAGAATAGTGTAACAGTTTGCTGCAGTTTGGTCTCAAATTCTTCTCAGATTCCCACTTCCTCAGTTGTGGGGAAGGCCAGTCTTTTAAAACTTGTGAAAGAAATCCAGTGGATTTCACAAAAGCAATTTTAGCATGATGTACTTCTTTGATTGCCTTCCCAACTGCAGTGCCATCACAGAAAGTACCTAAACAAGAAAGGCCCTTTCTAGTCTTTTTGAACTAAAGCAATCAGTATAAGCCCAAGGTAGGTTGTGCACAGCACAGCAGCATACCTGTCTGTTGAAGGATCTTAATGACCACACTAAAAACCAGCAAGACATGTAATTAACTGTTCCACACAGAGGAAATTGATTACAAATTGCTTCAAGAAACAACCGGAAGATTCGTCTGAACCTTCCTCTGAATCAGTGGTGAACAACGTAACTAAAGGATGTACATCACATGTGCCCAGACAAGCACTTCCTCTTCCCACATACTTTAAGAATCTGTCCTTTGACTGGTATGATAAGGTGTTGCCCAAAGTAGCTTTGAGCTGAAAGCAAGTTGATCAACTCTTGTGACTGATCTAGACATTTAGGCACAATTACTTCTGCCCTTTGATTACAGCTACTAGAATCAACACTATTCTACTTAAACAGAGATGGATTTTCCTGGAAGCAGTGTTGTAGAGTGAACCGGCAAGAAATTCAAGCGACTGAGCAGGATGATACTTCAAGGAACATCATAACCACCACCACCAGAATGTTCTCTAAAGGCTCAAATAGGTCTTGGGCATGCCCCAAGTACTTAAGTGGGGCTAGCCCTCAGTACTCATGCCCCCAAAACTCCAGCACAGGCCAGTAAACAGAGAACTGGATTTGTAAGACTGGGGTTCAAGTCTCAGCTCTATCTCAGCTTCATTGTGTGAAGAATCTAACCAATCCACTCAGTCTCAACGTCATATCATGTTCAGAGGAACCAGTACAATAAAATCTCAATTCATGTAGGGTTTCCATTCCATAGCTCAAAGCTAACTGCTGGAAGGGGAGGAGCCCCCCCCGCCAGAATACTACCCTGCACATCCACTGCCAGAGGAAAAAGAAACTTGTCTCAGCTGGGACTGAGCCGGTGTGCAAAAGTCCAGCCACTAGGCTACCATAGCATGCAGTAAGATCAGCTGCTGCGAAGTTTATTCAATTGTGGACTGATCTGGGACTCTCCCCAAGTCTTGCTAATTCACTTGGGTGGAAAGGACACAGGCCTCCCGTTCATCAGGCAGCATTGGCCTGTGGTTAGGCTTGTCTGGTTTGATATTCTGCCAAGGTTGGTGTGGTACTGTCAGGGGAACCCCAGGGGCATTAATAGGACCTGGAAGGTTAACCTGGAAATCAGGCTGAAATACATGATCTTGGGGTGTGGGGTCATTCACAGTGGCGGAGTGTGTTCTCATGGTGCCTAGGGAGTGCACACACAGTGGGGGCGCAAGAGGGCAAATGAAGCCCATCATGTGCCAGCCCAGACCTTGCTGCCGAAGCGACACCAGTCCTGAGCTGCACAGGGCCCTGCGTCACTTTGCTAGGCTGGGATCTGATCACCCATTTGCCTAGGCAGGGTGGTTTGTCTTATTAGCTGCAGGTTCAGTTTATTCTTGCATCTGAGGTTCAGTTTACTCCTGCACCTATAGGGGTTTCCCTCTGCAGATAATCATCTGGTTTGTTGCGTTTAAGCTTAATAAAGTGGTCTTTACTTCAGCCAAACCAACTTTGTCTGACTCCTTATTCAGTCAATGGGTTGCAAATGAATCTGGGTGGTTTTCAAAAGAAATGAAAAGTAATCAAGGTTAGGAATATGGGCAGCTGCCTCATACCACGTCAAACCAATGGTGTATCTAGCTTAGTATTGTCTACACTGACTGGCAGCAGCTCTCTAGGGTTTTGGGTTCTTTCCCAGGTCTGCCTGGAGAGTGAACCTGGGATCTTCTACATGTAAAGCAAATGCTCTACCACTTAGTGACTGCCCTTCCTCCCTCAAGCAGTTTGTTTCAAGGTCAAGCAGCCTGGTTTCAGGAATCCCCCTCTCAGATTGTATTAGTAGTTATCACCACACACAGCAAAATCTTTAAAGCACTTTGCATAATTAAAAGTGCTATTGATATAATGGGGAAAGTTACTGTCATCTGTGGTGGTTTCCACTACCAGTGAATGATATTAAAAAGATAGATTTTTAATCTATGGATAATTTTTCTTCTTGATTTAATTTTGACTCTTTCTTACATCATCAGCATGATTGTGAATGTTGCCTACCAGCCAAGTATGGCAACCCACCAAGACTTAATAAATCTCCTCTCCCTTTGTTTTTTGCTGGCTACACAACACCAGGGGGGTGGGGTGGGGGGTAAAAAAAGGTGCACTATGTGCATCTGGGTGGATCACAAACTGTACAGGCCTATTTTTCATATTGCTTTGAAATGACAACATTTTTTCTTAAGTGTCCGAGGTGGATGAAGAAAATTCTTCGATCTTCTGCAGTAACTTAACACCAAGCTACTGTAAACTTCACAGCTGCAGGGAGATGTGTCCAACCCTAGTTCTAACAGAAAGAATTGCCACTAGGAACACAGCCTAAAAGTAGAAGTCATCCATAACCAAACCCTTGTGAGTAGTCCCTTGCTAACTTCCTTCACACCTGTGCCAGCAAGTCATACTCTTGCCCTTGGCTTGCCTATCTCCCTATTCCAAACAACTATGTAGTTTTCAGTGTGGAGGAGGAAACCAATTATTAGAAACATCTTCTCAAGTGTTATTTCACATGATGGCCCAGAACTAAAATTGCCAACTTCTTTCTGGCATGGTTCAGGTGCTTTTAAGAGCTGAGTAACAGGCTGAGATTCAACAGGTGAAGTTTCTCATACACAAATATTCATATTGAGGCATTTTGTCTGATGGAATCCTGTTCTGTTATTGGCTAATATATGTAGATATAAAAAGAATGACACTGAGCAATATCTCTCCATGAGCAGAACAGATTTCCTACACATTGAAGAAAACCCTCAAATGGAAAATTGTATAGTAAAGCGCAAGGGCTGGGTTTACTTTTTGGTTTTATAGCAATACTCAATATTTCAAACACTACTTTAACATTAGGATCAGATGAAAGATGTCTAGCCATTGTGTTTTAGATCATGGCATATGAAATTTTGTGTGCACATGTTTGTTTCTGTTCCAAATGGCTCAGTCACGGTCACCTTCTGGAGGGAAGTGAAAACTTTACTTCAAAAGGGACTTCAAAGTAAATACTGGCCAATTGGTTTTATTGCCACTGCTGCATGATTATGTTTTATAATGTTGTCATTATTTTAAATCTTGTTTTATCATTGTTAGTGATGTTAGGGGACCTTTTGACAGAAAGGAAAGCCATGTAAATTATTTAAATAAACATACAACTCTCTCAGCCTACCCCATAATCTGCACCTAAGTCCCCTTCCCTCTTAACTCCACACCTTCCTCCCAACTGCAGCCTTAATACAGGGTGCCCCTATAATTCATCCCCAACTACACAAACATCAGCCACTGGTCTTTACTCATTCAGTTTATTTTGGCAGGCCTTTTACATCTGTTTCAGCTCTAGATTTCTTTTTAACTTTGCCACTTTTAGATTTTGCTGCTCTTGTATGTATGCTTCACTGTTGATCTGCTTTATCGTTTTTTAAAAAAATGTTTTAGTTGCGGTTGTAAGTCATTCTGAGAATTTGAGTGACATGGTTTTACTGGATACAGTGGTACCTCGGGTTACATACGCTTCAGGTTACATATGCTTCAGGTTACAGACTCCACTAACCCAGAAATAGTGCTTCAGGTTAAGAACTTTGCTTCAGGATGAGAACAGAAATTGTACTCCGGCGGCGCAGCAGCAGCAGCAGGCCCCAATAGCTAAAGTGGTGCTTCAGGTTAAGAACAGTTTCAGGTTAAGTACGGACCTCCGGAACGAATTAAGTACTTAATCCGAGGTACCAATGTATTTCTGCTTCATGTCACTATTAAATTGATTTTATGCTGCTGTATTTATGCTGGCTTGTGTGTGCATGAGCTGATAATTGTTGTTTAAAATTGGTTATGATTTTTTGCTTATATTTTTTAATTTTTAAAAAATTGATAAACCACTCAAGTTTAGAAACTTATAAACTATCACGCAATCCTCCTTCCTGGCCTAATGGTCTGACTTTGCATAGTGCAGCTTCCTGTGTTCTTATAAAGGAGAGGAACTATACGTCAACAATACTGCATCTGCTTTGCATGCAGAACATTCCAAATTAAATCCCTGTCATCTCTATTTAGGGTTGGCAAACACCTTTGCCAGTAAGCTTGGAATAATAACACAAGAGCCCTCTTGCATCTGATCAAAGGTCCATCGAGTCCAGCATATTGCTTTCTGCAATGGCCAATCAGATACTTCTATGAAACCCACAAGGAGGGTGTGAGCACAACAGCTGTATAATGAAGGTGCATGGCACACTTCCTTGGCGAGGGATCTCCCACAACTTAGGGGCTGCCACAGATAATGTTCCGTCTCCAAGTTTCTGAGGGCAGAGGAACAACCCTTTGCTGATCTTGTCACCCAAGAGAGTTGGGAAAAATACTTAAGTTTTACATAAGTGCATGCAGTGAAATTAATGAGTAATGTTTCACTCAGTACTCATGTTTTTTAAAAAAGCTACCACTTGCAGCCCCCAACCTCATCCCAGTCCCTCCTACACTGTGTGACCCCTGGTTTCATTTACATATATTTATACCCCACCTTTCCTCCAAGCAGCTCAAGGCTTGCACCCCATCTTTTCCTCCCAACCCTGTGAGGTGCATTAGTTAGGCTGCAAAAGCAACTTGCCCAAGTTCACCCACTGAGCTTCATGACCAAGAGGGGATTTGAACCTGAACCTTCCCTCACACCACACTTGGTCCCTTATGTAAACTTCATGCAAACTGCTTAGGAAAGCGAGAAATTAAGCAGGGCACAAATGCCTTAAAACAAAAACAATAACAAACACCGACTTGCAGTGAACGCGCTATTAACAATGCCAACATTATTAATATTCTGAACAAAATCAGACAATAGATCTGTTCCATAGGAGGCAACCCCCTAGGGGCCGACGTCACCCCCCCCAATAATCTATTTGAGGGGGCTGCCCCCCAGGTTGATGGGCATTACCATTCAAATGAGGCTCTGATCGATTATGTGGGGCGGGGCTTACCTGCCCACCCCAACATATTATTCAGGTTGGCACCCCTGATACGTTGTTCTCCCCCTTCTGGCCCCCTCCAAGCAACTCCTCGCAGCCCAAGACCCCGACCAAGCCAAGCTTGGGCCGCTTCCTGCCTCCTTCTCACCTGCCGGGCGCGGGTCCTGCCCGAGCAGGTGCTGCCGGACGTCCAAGTAGGGCACCTCCGCCTCCAGCCGGGCCCCCGGGCCCCCTCCTGCTGCCGCTGAGGGAGAAGCGGCGGCGGCGGCCACAGAGGCGGCTCCCTCGCCCCAAGCCGCCCTGGCGCGTCCGGTGGCCTCGAGGCGGAGGGCGCGGAGGGGCAGCGGCGCCGCCGCCTCCAGCACCACCCGCCCGGACACGGTCTCGCCGCCGCTGTAGCCGCCCGCCGCCGCTTCCGACAGAGATAAGGCCAGCTGAGCCTTCACCACAGACGGCGACGACTCCTCGGCCGCCATGACGCGCCTCAGGCCCCTCTGCCCGGACGACGACGACGGACACCGCCGGCGCCGGCGCCTCAACCCTCTGAGGGGGAAGGCAGACGAGTAAGGAACGGGGAGTTTCGCCTCAGCCTCCCTCCACAGGCCCTCTCGCCTGATTGGCTGCGCCCGTGACAGCCCCTGGCGTCAAGCGGCGTGATCGGGGCGCCGCGGCCAACCGCCAGACGGGCCTCGGCGCGTGGACAGCGCCGCCATTGGAGACGCCGCGGCAGACCCGGGAGCCCCGGCCAATCAGAGAAGGGAAGGAGCCATGTGCACGGGCTGCGTGGGTAAACACAGGCAGGCCGGCAGGCAGGGGAAAGGGGAAGGGCCTGAGAGTGACGTGATTATTTCTCTGGTGGAAACTCCCTAGGATTTCCTCTCAGGGTTCCGGTGTATACAGCGGGATTCCCAGAAGCACTTGGGTGGCCGCGGGGAGCGCAGGGTTTTCATTTCGTTTTCACTTTTAGTTTGTATACCGCCTTTCTGCGTTGCTGTACGCGAGGGGATTGGCAGGCATGAGAAACAGGGGAATATGCCGCAGAAATCAATCATCTAACAATCCCATCCAATGAAAACAAGTCATAACAACAACAAAAAAGACTTTAAAATGAACAAATTATATCAAACAATGTTCAATAATCCATTAGCATATGATAGTACACAATAAAATAAACTCTCAACATACCAGCCGATAAACAGGAATTTATTCTCAACTATTTACAATGTAATCGTTACTAAACTACAATCATTCAAAATAACAGCAAGTCACAATGCACAAAATACAGCAATACATAAAAGTAAAAAGATTTAGTTGAGCAACAGAGTCACATAACTTCTAAATTTATTATTGCTGTTATTTCTACTTGTGGACTCCTATCCCAGCTGCTTCTGCTGCTCTTAAAGCCATGGGAGAGGCCATTGCTCTGCTGGACTTAACTGATGGTGGGGCGCCCTTCTTCACATTTCCTTGCTGAGGAAGCTGGCAGGACGCTGAAGCAGCTTTAGCTGTTAAAGTGGGACGCAGAGGTGTACCTAAGGGTTGGCGCAGGCCCAGGGGCATGGGCGTAGCCAAGGGGGGCAGGGAGGGGCAACTGCCCCTCCAATAAATAAAAATCAATAAAAATACATAGTAAACTTAAGTTCTGCCCCCTCTAACAAAAGACCTCCCCCCCACAAATCCTGGCTACGCCCATGCCCAGGGGGGTACAAAAACTGCTGCTCTCTACTTGGGCTTGGAGTGATTAGGAGCTTGCCTGCCCCCTCCCAGCCCCTGTACTTCCTGGGCTGCTCCTCTGCTGCTCTGGGCACTGGCTCCTCTGGGTGTCTTGGTGGAGATACTTGCCAAGGGTTCAAGGGACGGGAGGAGAGCTCTGATACAGCTCCTTGGCAATAGCAAAAGGTAACCTAGGTATGCTTCTGGTGAGATATAGTAGTAAGGTAAAGGTAAAGGGACCCATGACCATTAGGTCCAGTCGTGGCTGACTCTGGGGTTGTGGCGCTTCATCTATGATTTGTCATAGAAGAAGGTGGGAATATTGTCTGAGCAGCTTTTACGTTTCATTTCAAAATAGGTTGTTGTTCTTCTTGGGGGGGGATGTGGAAAAATGAACTAGAGAAGGGGATAGTGCTTACTGAGTCAATAAAACCATGTAGTTGCACAGAGTTGGAAAGGTGAGATCTTTTACAGGGCTGGTAAAATATATTACCGTGCAGTGCTATAGGTTTATTATTAACTTGTACTTATCTGTGCTTATATGCTTTTCTGCACGTACAGTTCCAAGAGCTCTCAAATCTCTCTCTCTCTTTTTAAAGAAAGCAATTTAACACCCCTTCTGCAGTCGTACTGGCTGGCTGGCCGCCCCCAAGGAAAAGTGTATGTATTTCTTTTTGGTCCAAGTGCACTCAAGGAGGTTCATAACATAAGCCGAAACGATATCTAATATGAATTATTATTGCTGCTATTGTTATTAATCAGACAATATAGAGTAAAATGGGAACAGAAGAAAAACCGCACAACATATAGCAGACACATAAACAGGCAATTTGTTGAGCTCAGATTCTGACCTAGATGGACAATAAGGCAGCTTTTAATGTCCCTTAGCAGTTTTGTTCATCAAGGCTTTTTTATGGCAAGTTCCTGATTTAAGGCTTCTTGGGAGGGTATATGTCCTTAAAGGTGCACTAGACACCCATTAAATCACATAGACCTAAATCAATTAGTGCATGGACTATGGAAACAATGTGAGGCTCAATTCTCGCCCTCATTTCATAAGAAGAAGAAAAAAAAGGCTAAATAATAAAGTTTAATGCAACAGAATTCTTCCTGAAATTTCTCTAGATCCAAAAATATGTTTGATCTGGAAACTCTAAATAAGGGAAACAATTTCCTCCTGAGTCCTGATTATAGAATCATAGAGTTGGAAGGGACACCAAGGGTCATCTAGTCCAACCCCCTGCAATGCAGGAATCAAGGGCTTGGTAGAAGTACCATGTGATTCTATGAGCTGAAAGTTTGACCCCAGGGCCAACACTAGCTGGAGTGATGGATGGTAAGCCAATTAACCGAGGGAGATAAAATGAAGATATTGGGTCTCTGTTTCCTTCTGCAACTTCCTCTTGCTTGAAGTTTGTCTCTTCATGAAGTCCTTGTCCAGACCATCAAAGTTCTGCAGACATATAACACTGGGGAAAAGGGGGGGGGGAATGAACTACTACAGTGGAGTCAACTGCATTATGCAAAGCATATTTAAGCAAAAGTTACTCAGAGTGAACAAAAGTAGGACTGCGGTTAAGGGGGAAGGGTTGTTCAGCATGAGCAAACTAAAAAACCATTCTAGGTCGATGGTGGTCTTTCATATTTTGCTTCCACCAACTGACTTCGATGTTTTGCAACCAGAAGTCAGCAAAAATGTAGCTTATGCAGGTAAGCTCCTGCAGGCTGCCACAAGACCCTTTACTAAGGGACAGGCTTGTTCACAATGCAATGCTGTTCAGCAGTGCAGTGCCATAAAATAGAATGCTTAGGGGAGAATAACATATTTTAATGCACACTCTCTCTATCTCTCTCTCATACACACACTGTATGTGAAAATTAAGCATATCACAGAGAAATGTTGCATCTGAGCTCTACTCCAAGTCTTCTGAATAGCTCAGTTGGCTAGAGCATGGGGCTGATAATGCCATGGGTGCATTTTCGGACCCTGTATGGGACAGCCGCATATTCCTGCATTGCAGGGGTTTGGATTAGATGATCCTCAGGGCCCTTTCCAATGCTACAATTCTGTGATTCTACATACAGAGGGAGTTATTCAGTTGTAAAACTGATCTGTCTTAAGAGACATCCAGTCCAGTTAAGGCTGTGTGCTATACTTTATCTGATCATGTAGTTCGGCTTCAAATCAATCCACAGGAGAAGGCAGAGGGACAAGACACAAGGGGAAGCACAAGCAACTCATGTCAGATCATTGTGCTTTAAATTCTACTTTTCAGCACCAAATTGGTTTCCAAACCTCCAAGTACTTCATGTTCTTCCCTTTAATTGCCGGAGAAGCTCTTTCCCAGCACAGAACTGTAGGTCTCGTTCACCCTGACAGTGTGCAAGGGCTCACGCTTTTGTGAGGCGGGTGTGTTCTCTCTCCCTGCAGTTTAAGACACAAGTAATACCTTCCCTTCCACATCAGGCAGCTCTGCTTCATGTTCTGTTTCCAGTTTTATGGCAGCGCTTCTCTGGGTTTCAGGCACTCGACATTCCCGGCCCTACCTGAAGATGCCAAGGAAAACTGAACCTGCGACCTTCCGCATGAAGAGTAGATGTTGTGCCACAGACAATTAACTGGAAGTCTTCTGCAAAGGAAACCTTCCTCCTCTGACATTGTGACACAATTCTTGCTAATGAATTTCATCAACAGGCACTTCCCAATATTATGTAAAAGTGGGCTGGGCTGTTGGTAAACTCTGAAAACTGATTCCTCCAAACTGGGCGAACAGGCAAGAAAATGGGAAATGTTGATCAATACATAAGAAAGTGTAAAGTGATAGATGTTGGGGCAAACAACCTTAACTTCATGTATACACAGGTGGGGTCTGTACTGATGCTGACTCACTAGGAAAGAGAGCTCAGAGCCACAGTGGGCAGCTCAGTAGAAACATCAACTTACTGTGTGGCAACTGTGAAACACACAATTCCCATGCTAGGGATTATCAGGACTGTATACAGTATTTAATATGTGGCTGCACTATGGATTTATGGAAAGGCATTGTGGGAAAAAGGAAGCTGTCTTATATGGAACCAGACCCTTTGTCCTTCTAGATCTGGCATAGGCAAACTTGGCCCTCCAGATGTTTTGGGACTACAACTCCCATTATCCCTGACTACTGGTCCTGTTAGCTAGGGATGATGGGAGCTGTAGTCCCAAAACATCTGGAGGGGCAAGTTTGCCTATGCCTATTCTAGATCAATATTGCTTACACTGACTAGCAACATCTCCCCAGGGGGCATCTCCAGCCCTAAATGGAGATGCTGGGGATTGAACCTGGGACCTTTGGCATGCAAAGCAGATGCTCTGCCACTGAGCTGTGGCTGTTCTTGTCTCAGCATTGAAAGACACAAGCAATACCTTCCCTGCCGCATCAGGCAGCTCCATTTTGCCTCATTATTTCCTGCTTTGTTTTTTTCTCCGCAGATGGTTAATTGTGAGTTCTCTGCAAAGGAAAGTCCTCTCCTCCAACAGAGAGTCAACAAATCTCAAAAGAGGCTCCTTTGCAGATTCTCTGTGGGTGACAATAGCAACACCATTTCCCAAAATAATTTAATACTGTGAGTGTGCTATCATTCCCCCCGCCCCCAACAAAAATGCTTCAAGAGATCTTGAGATGCAGGATGAAATCGGGAAGGCATTCAAAGGAGAAAGTGTTATAGTAATGGGTGACTTCAATTACCCTCACACAGACGAGGAAATTGATTTCCAAGGTGGAATCTTCTAAAAAAATTAGGAGGCTGGCAAAAAGGAAGTTGAAAGAGAAATTGAAGAGGGTTAAATTTCTCCGGAACATTGTGAGATTATTCAAAACCACAATAATTGAAGCTCAACCTAGAATGTGTGCCACAGATCATGAAAGATGATACCAAGTCAAAGAGGATGCCAATGTGGTTAATGAGTAGAGTCAAGAAAGCTATTTCAGGCAAGCCATCAGAAAAGGAAGTCTTGCCCAAATGCGATTAAAAAGGAGAAATATATATATATATATATATATATATATATATATACACACACATCAGAAGCGAGAAACTGATTAGCAAGGTGACAAGCGTCCTGCCAACCTAGCAGTTCGAAAGCATGCCCAAAAGTGCAAGTAGATAAATAGGTACCACCCCAGTGGGAAGGTAAACGGCGTTTCCGTACGCTGCTCTGGGTTCAGTGTTCTGTTGCTGGCCACATGACCCGGGAAAACTGTCTGCGTACAAACGCTGGCTCCTTGGCCTGTAAAGCAGATGAGCGCTGCAACTGGACTTAACTGTCAGGGATCCTTTACCTTTTAAAGTTGAAAAAGGAGGCTACAGAAATAAAGTGAATGAAAACCGTAATTTGTGTCTATCTTCATTGTGGAAGATGCATGGAAAATCTCTCTGCCTGAACTGACTTTTCAGGATGGTAGTCTGAGGAACTTAGTGGTGATAGAACTTTTTTTTAAAAAAGGGATTCAAGTAATTAAAGTCCAGGGAAACTGGTGGAAAGCCTTATTAAATATAGCATTATTGAGTGTATGGAAGGACAATATGGAAGGAGTGTATGGAAGAATAATCAAGAGTGCTTCTGCAAAGAGAAGACTGGTCTCATTAACTTTTTAGAAGTCATGAAGAGTGTTATGAATTGTGTAGATCCCATCTTCCACCCCCAGATCAGATCCAGGAGGAGAGCTGGTGGCAACATCTAGGGCAGGAGAAGGTGCTCTTGCCACACTGTCCATCCCACAGACATTTGACCCCATGGCACTTAGAATGCTGCTCCTTATGTTCCCTTGAGTGATCTCTAAAAGGTTGGCCATGCTTTTCTCAGAGAAGTAAGGTGACCTTTGACTGCAGCAGGCAAGAGGTACCATTTTCAAAAGCCAGGGCAAACACAGCATGGCCAGAGAACGGGGTATCTGCTCATCAGCATTGTGCTAATATCAAAAGATCATGCTGTTGTTGAGTGGCATGCAGTACCCGGTGTTTTGATTTGTTTCTTGAAAGACAAATATTGAGTGAGCGGCTGGGGAACTTAATTGTGCCCGTTTTAATCTTGCCAGGTGTTTGTTCTTTGGGTTCCTGGGACAAAAGCTGAGCCAAATATAGAACGTAGAGAA